TCATCTTTATTAATACTAACAAATTATTTGTAAAACAGAGGAAACTGACAGACTTACTACAGTTCAAAACGCCAGGAGGTTGATGCTACTCTCCACTAACATGTGGCCTTGTTTCATTTCTCTTTTGAATTTTACCATGAAAGTACTTCCAGAACTTTTCTAAGCATCTTTTTTTCCCTACCTCTTCAAACAATGAAAACAAATCCAATGCCAAAAAGGTCAAATATGAAAAGGAATAGCTCAGCCATGTTAAAATGTCTTCTCCCCAAGCCCCAGATACCATGGAGAAGGATTAGCCATTTAAATGGACAAGTATTTTTTTCTTTAAAAAATAAGAAATTAAAGCTTTTAGGAGAGATTTTTTTCTTTCACTTCTCGTTTCAGTCTTCCATTATGTGTGTTTAATGAATAGCACAATTAGGGTGAATAAGTTAAATAAGGAAAACAAGGCCAAGGTTAACTTAACTAGTTATATGATTAATTCTTTGCTGTAGCTGTTTTATTCACATGGGGTGTTTGTGTGCATCTTATGAAACTCATATCCAAAATGAGTGGTTCAGCTATTTAAAGTTGTAAGGTTTTTATTTATATAAATTTATATCTGTCATCAAACAGAGCAGCTGAAAGGGAATCTTGCTGAGAAAAAAATCCATACCAAGATCCAAGATGATGGAGAATCAGTCCTTAAATAACCAGAGGTTTTTTAGTGCTGGTGCAAACATTTCTCAGACATACCCTAATGACTTCTGTATACAACTTTTGTGAAGAACAAATGTACAGAACTTTGGTATCGTGATTTCCCTGTTGCAGCCATGCCCTCATGGTGGGTTTGTCTGGGGTCCCTCTGTGCATTAAATGGAGAGCAGAGAAGAGCCTTGCTGAATTTCACCTTTGGGAATTTTCATCCAAAGCTGTCCTCCAGTGATCACAAACCCTCTCTGAAGCTTGGAAAGAGCCACTCCTGAGCAACAGCTCTGTGCTGGAGTGCTGTTCCCCCAGCAGAAGTGTAAACCACACAGTTTGGGCTCCTCTCCCAGAGGACACGTAGAAGCAAACATATCCCAGTATTTTCTGGACACGTGTGTGCAGACCCCCAAGCCCACAGAAGAGCAGAGATCAAGGAGGTCATGGAGACACAGCACAGGATTTACCCTCCCTGTGCTCAGGCTCAGTTTAAGTTCCCCTGCAAGATGTTTGACTGCACTGGTTTCTCCCAGCACTCAGCACAAGCACACACAGGAGGTGACTGTGATCTTCAGCCCACCAGAGACTGATTCAGCTCTCTATGCCTCCAGGGACTGTGAAAGATCCTGGGATGATTCTGTTGCTCATTAAGGACACCAGTTTCTAAAGGGAGATGAATCCAAGCCACGCTGCCGAGGTGCAGCCCTTGTTAATGGAGAGGAAACGGAGGTGGGAGTGAAGGTGTGGGGTAAACAATCCTTTAGGAGTTTCCTCATCCCTGCTGCTGCTCAATGGGGCTCATATACAGGAGCTTGCTTCAAAAATTCAATATCTGAAGAACGCTTTTGGTGGGGCGAAAGGTCTTGTGCTGCTCCCTCCTGAAATGAGCAATGCTTTTAAACCCAAAACCAAGCCAGGTTTCAGTACCTACATCAGGAGGTCCAGTGCACAAAACTCACAGGTCTACCATAAAAAGAAAATAGCAGAGAGTGAATACAGATGTTGTGTGAGTAGATGTGCCTGAAGTTTCAAATGCTGACTCTGTTGGCTATTTATTTCACCTGCTCTCATGCAGCAGAACCAGTGCTTGGGCTGTCCTGTAACTCTGCCTCAGTCCTTGCTGTTCCAAACCCCTGCTTAGGCATCTCCACACAGGATGAAATACAGAAGCTGAACAGACACTGGCTATAACAATTTCACATGGGCCTTTTCCATCTTTGCCACAGCAGACAGCAAAGTGATAGGAACATGAGGATATTTAGTCTGTTAAACTGCTTTTGGCCCTGCTCATGAGAACTTACCACATTGTGACAAATCCTTATGCTAATATTTGTGTAAACAGAGGAGGAAACTCAGGATGTGTAATTCAGCCATGTAAGAAGATCTTTTTCTGTCTTTTTGCTGGATAATGGGATGATTCACGATAATCTGGGACTATCCAAAGGTGTCTGAAGAGCACATCTGGCCCATTTTCACAGACTTGAAATTTAGACATACAAAAAAAAATAAATTCCTGTACTGCACATCAATGCCTTTCCAAAAAAGCTAGTTTGAATTCCAAGTTTTTTAGTGATGCACGATGATCTATTTACACTCAAACTTTCAAAACCTTACTAGCAAAACCCCTTGACCTGATGGGTTTTCTTCCAAATTAATTATTGGAAAGATTTTTTTGTCTTCACCCATATCCTCTGTTTCTCTGCATGCTCATGACAAGTCAAAAAGGAAGGTTGACATTTCCTTGTATTTCAGAGCTGACACGAAGACTTATCCAAACTTTACACCCCTAACTTTCAGAATACCAACAGGAGCAAATAATTATGTCTGATATCACTAATTCTGTTGGACAAGCACTGCTGAGCTGTGCTGGCACTCACTGGCATTCATGAGTGGCTCACATCAGCTACAGGGGCATCCCCCCTGATGTTTGGGGGATATTTTGGAGGCTGAACTGCCTGTGAATTTAAGGATTTACTGCACAGTGGGGAAAAGCAGGGAAGGGGTTCTCCCAGAGGCAGGGCTGGCGTGGGCCATGCTGCCTGGAGCTGCAGCTGCATCCGTGGGGAGATGGGGTTTGGGGCTGGCAGCAGCCCCCACTGTCACACTCCTGCATCCAACCTGTCCTTTCCCAAGGTGGGCTCTGCATGGAAGAAGAAGCTACACCTCCAACAGGCTGAGGATGTCTGTTCCCAGGGAGAGCAGGTAGGATTCTCCATCTCTGAGGTTACTGTTTGCATTTTAATTTTGGAGCTTGGGTTTACTTTTTATTGTTACCGTTGCCCGTCAGAACTTTTGAGAAATGCACACACCCCCCAGAGATTTAGGATCAAATGGAAAACTGAATAAATCAAAGTATTATTGATGATGGATTAAGGCCATTTCCGGCAGGGTAATCTCCTCTCACGGTGCATCTGTTGAGGAGGACTCTGCTATTCTTTTGGGCATTTTTAGGTGTATTAATCAGTACCAGCTGTAACTGGTACCAGCTGTTACTGCTTCTCCTCTCCCCTGGCATTTGCCCAGCCCTTGGGGTGAACTTGCTCTCCCTGATGGGCATTAGGGATGCAGGAGGAGTAGGACACGTGCTGGAGTGATCCCTGTGCTCCTGCAGAATGGGCGTGTGAGGTGGGATGTGGCCATAACCCCTTTCCTGACACACATGCTATCATAACATATTAAAGCATCCATTACCTCTAAACATGAGTAATAGCATTTTTCATGTTAGTGTTCCATGCATTTCACTTATAATTTAAGACTGTTATGAACTAGACTGATAATCAGTCAGAGTTCTGGAATCATTCCTGAACTCTTGCAGAAGTAAAATATTACAGGGCTATGTCAGCCTGGTCAGATACTGTCTTCCTTCATACAGCTGGTACTGCCTTTTCATTCTGCAGCAAAGTGTCTGAGGTCAGGGAGTGCCTTCCTCTTTGTCTGGTCTCTATTAGCTCTCTCTGGAAGAAGTTGTCCCTCTAACAGATTTTTTTTCCCCCCAGCCT